AGAGAATAACCAACGCCAAATAAGACAACAACTAACATCCAAAAAGTAATGGTTAGTTAAATCCACTTGGTATTGTTTACATGTGGCAATCAGGACTCAGTAGCTAAGTGAATAACCCAATGGCGTTTGATGAGAATGGTACTGAGTTCGAGTCCCTGGGTGGACATCAACTCTGGGATGAAGGTATATCTAGCTGACGAGTCCCAAATAGGATGAAACCCGCGTCCTTGATTCCACTGTTATTCACTATCCATCTTTGCTTATAATAGATGATTGTTTTGTGTTAATTTAAAATTCCTTAGAAATCATACTGATAACACCATATACAGCTGGATCCCAAACTTACAACCTCTTGCTCAACACAGTAGTTTTAAATCGATGTTCAATAATTCGCAGTTCGAACCATTATCTAAAGTAAGTTATTATTATAGTATTTGTAACTTTATTGATGAAATGTCTAGTGGTCATTAGTTGCTCAAATCTGTAAAAAAAAATCACCTCCATCAGTAGCGAACACGGTAATAGTAAATTTACTACGATTTACAAACAATAATATTTGTTATGATTTATTTGGCGAATTTTCACTTCATGAAAACAGTTTACAGAAGAAACCCAGAACTTTTAGGCCTCATGGCTAGGGCGAAATTAAAAGTCATAGTGACAATTTGCGTTGGTGTAAGATATTATTGGTAAATTTAATACTGACGAAGCGTACTGAACATTTATGGTGGATGATTTTATGAATAAACTAAACGACCAAACAAAAGTTAAGATATTGGAAACTATAGAGCCTTGCATGACTATTTAATCGAACTTTCGACCACGTCCATGGTGTACACCTATGACCACATAACTATTTCATTAAAACTAATGAATCTTCAGGTTATTTGTTAACCTATTGTTTTCTAATGGGATAGATATGTTGATGATTATAACTACATTGTTAATTATGTTCATCATTGTTTACATTAAGCTCATATTCAGTTTTATGTATTGTGTTAACATACACGTGGTCACTTTTTGGGCCCATACACAAGCACGCAATTACGTAAATTAAATTAGCAAAGTAAAATGTGTCAACATTAATTGTATTCCTTTTTTAAAAAGGACTTTTTCTTCTACTCTATGATTTCTAAATTGATTTAATTCTGTCCATAATTAACTCATTTACCTTTTCATAAGACAGTGAAAGATTATAGAATATTGGCATAAAAGACTTTCAATTTAAAAATTCACAGACAGGATAAGCTGTCTTTCACATAACAAAAGAACAACGGTATTATGTAAGTGTTTGAATGCTAGACTGTAATAGATCGTGATGAATAAACCGATTATAAAATTATACTATAAACAACCCCTTAATGATTAATATCTGTTCTTTTCAAAAAGATATTACAATGGATATATATATATATATATATATATATATATATATATATACCTTTTTTGTTAATGGAGAAAACATTGCACCAGTTGTAATAGGTATGTGTGAAATTCTGTATAAATGTCTTTTCTTTAACAACAAATAAAAATAAAGGCGTGGCAGAGTTCATATTACCTTGTAAACAATCAAACAAATTAGCTTAATAGATATCTACTATTTCTAATGTTTCTAGAGATAGTTTGCAGTTGAATCTAAATTCAGGTGATTTATTTGTTAACCTCATTTTTTAAATAATAAATAGGTGACTACTTTTGATAAATGGGATTACTAATATCATGAATTATATGAAAAAATATGTATATAACAAGTTAAAGTTTACCTCATAATGCACTCGAACGGTTTCTATAAAGTGTTCTATCCACCACTACAGTTTCTCTTAATTTCCTCTTCGCCTGACAGCTGATTCGTCCAATAAAAGAATACATTTTTGGTGATGGTGTCTGGTCAATGGATTTGAAGTATCTCATGTTGACAGTTGTTCATAAACACTTGTACTTCTTGTGATGGTGGTAGCAGTTCCCTAAGTTTCTACTCTGCATGATGAAACTATTTAAAGTCGGTATTGTGAATTCTGACTTTCATCCTAGCTGATCGTTATTTCAGTTACAGTTATTGTTCAAGTGCAGGAATGTTACCATTACTTTGCCAATCCGTGCATTCAAATCTGCATTAAAACATTCTTATCTGTCAGTGATCCTGACCAGGTACAAGGGAGCTCTCACGTCGTTCAGAGCTTCATCATCATCATCAAGTCTGATTTGGTTGGTGCTCATTGTGTTGACCTTCATAATATTGCACTTTGTAATGGAATGTTGAGGCCTACTTCTGTGGAGGCATCTGTGTGTTTTCTTCTATGAACATATCTTGAATTCAGTCACTCGTGGGAATTCCATATGATGGTGGGCGAAATGTCGTCAGGTAATCTGTAGTGTCGAATAAAATTCTATAGGCTTTTCCTTTGCACGTTATCGAATGCTTTCTCACAGTCAAAGAAGCTGATATCTAGTGGTGAGTTCCATGTAATTGATTGTTCAAGTGTGATCCACAATGTGATGATTTGGTCGGTACACGATCTATCCTTGAGAATATCGGCTTCTTGGTCTCGAAACTGGACAACTACTCAGTCTTTCATTCGGTTGAGTAACACTCTGTTGAAAGCATTTTCTGCTTCTGATCTCCTTTCCTCCGTATCTTGATGCGGTATCACTCGTTCCAGTCTGCTGATACTTGTTCTTCCTCCCATATCATTCTGAAGAGAATGTGCAGCATATTTGCAGTAACGTCTCTACATCCGAATTAAAGGCTCCATCTGGCATGCTATCTGGCGATGGTGCTTTACCCTTTCTGATGTATCCATTGGTTTCGTTACTTTTTCTATTGCTGGAGAGATGATATGCATGAAGATGTGTATGTGTGCCACTTTTGTATGCAGTGGGTTCAGTGAGTCTGGTCTAGTTGAGAGCTCTTCACAATGCTTTATCCATCTGCTCTACCGTTCTTGAATCTCTGTTATTGGTTTGCCTTTTCCGCTGATGATTGGTTGCTCTGATTCATCATATTTCCTTGCTGGGTTCTTGATTGTGATGTACGGTCCTCTCACATGTCCTTCACTCTCAGCTTTCTCTGATGCCGTTTTCATATTTTCTACATATTTGCGCTTCTTATTGATACGCATGTGATCGATTTGGCTCTCCATAGTGTGGTACGGTGAATCTAATATAGCTTTAACTATGTTTGTAAGGGCAATCTGTAACACTTATAACGACTTTTTTGAAAGCACATATCTTTCCCATTTTCTCCAATCTCGTTTTTCTTTCCAATTCATGTTAACTCATGATATTTTCATATGCGGTGTTGTCTATCCAGACTTTGGCCTTGAACTCATGTCTTTCCCTACGATATACTGCAACCTCTTGTAAAGTCAAACTTGATCATCCTCGTGATTGAACTCCACTGGTCACAATTTGTCACTAGAGTTCCAGGAATTGCATCTTGAAGTTAGCCACTGGTAAGGACATGATTGTTATCCATTTCGAGTGGTTTGAGAATATTTCGGATTCTCCATTTCATGGAATTTATTTACTACGTGCGAATAATGTTCATTAATTTATGTTGAAAATGTCGCGAGGAGTAAGAACACCATACTGAAAATTAGTTTCTATACTATTTTTGTTTTTAAAACTGATGTTCATTTAATAAATTCAAGAGGTCCAAAAATAACATCTTAGTACATATTATTATGTAACGTAATTATTGTTACCATAAAAAAGTATAAATACAGACAGAACAAATTCTGTTTTGGCATTAGTTATTTCTTTATTCACTACAATAAAATAGTATAAAATGATTTGTTTATTTATTGGTGAAATAAACATGAATTTTACGCAAGAAATAGCAAAAGAATTGTTCAGCATTACTAGCAGTAATAGTAACTTCTATTTATGTAATTAACTCCATTATTAAAACCCCACATAAACAACCACCATTACAGTTATCATTGTCATTATCACTTTCAGTGGATGATTCTACCGAAATATCTGTGTATGTAAACACACACACTCATACACACAGAAAATATAGTTTATTTATACGTGTATCATTTTTATCTTAGTTTCAATTTTATTTCCAACTATTCAAACATTGTTCTTCATTTGTTTTAAATAATTCAAAGTTTATGAATCCAAAAAAACATAATGAACAGCGAAAATTTTGAAATCGACTCAGATTACTAATGAATTTTTATGGGTTACGCGTTTGTGTTAGTGGACATATGGAGGTGATACTGTATTTGTTTATTCATTTAGACATAAACATGTGCGTGTATTGGTATGCTTATATTATCTATATGCATATTTAAGGAATAGACGTATTTTATTTAATACAAAAATACAACATTCTATTCGCAATTTTCTGTATTTATTTACCTTATATTATTTACTAAACTGCACATCACTAATTAATCAGTTTACTTTTCTGTGCAAATAACAACACATATTACTCACCTATATACTAACTGATCAACATAAATTAACAATATGTAAATTTATACAAATAACTCTTTTTAGGCAATATAGAAATACACAGTACTTGTTGTAACATGTTATTTTACAAACTATACTACCCAATTCTATTCGTATCTTTCATTGACAATGTGAATTTTACAAAACAGTGAGATGATTCTATTTTCTTTCTCATGCATTTTTTACTTTCTTAAAATATCGAGATAAAATTTTCAATGAAGTTTAATTCTTACACAATCCATTGCCAAAATCTATCATTAGAAGTGACATGTTTACTTATCGTGCATATATTTTTCTATCATAATATGTAACAAAAATATTGTAATGAAAATCATTTTCTTTATATAGTGTGTATGCGCACGCGTTAAAATAAGATACTTGTAAACAGTTTTTTTCTTCTATGTCATTCCCCTACGCTTCTGTAGATAATTTCTATCATTAGTTTGATTGGCAGAAATTTTATTCTACCTACCAGTATATCAAGTATAATAGCTACATAACAGATACGGCTGATGAAAAATGTCAACCAATCAGTGTTCTAGTTAAGACAAGTCTATTAACTTACTACTTAAGATCTGTAGGGGAGAGAGGTTCCTTTAGTATTGAACATTCGTAAATTTAAGGAAAATGTATACAAATTCTCTTACCCCTTTAAATCTATATTTGGAAGCAACACATTGTGATTAACCAGTCGGAAGCAAATAAAACAAGAACTTGTATGGATAAATGATTAAGACTTTAACATAATGTACATTTTATAATTATCAACAGAATCATGTTTCAGTAACATTAGACTTAATATTTCATTTATAAATTTCTCGAGAATGACAACACCTATCATGTCAGAGAATATTAATTATCTTCAAGAAGTTTCCATGAAATATTTAGAAGAAATGATACGCCTCAAAAATAATGATTTGATCAATCATAGTGTCAATAATAATGTTGTTCCGTGTGAAAGTGTCCCTTACACCAATGTATGTGAATTATCTGATTATCAAAGAAGCTATTTCACAAATCTGTCTTTATATTTACAAAATACCAATGAAAATTTTACTCATATTGATAACAACTCCGTTTGTAGGAGTGATCATGTAAATCGAGAACTTCGGATTAATTCACCGAAGAGTTGTAATAGTAATAATAATAATGACTCTAACAACTATATATTTAATCCACAAACTATTAATCATAAAACGTATGATCATCAGCTTTCGTACAATCGACTAAACCAAGATACGACTAAACGATTGGGTAAGTTGTAACAATTCTTTATTATAATTTAATATTATTATCGTTATAAATATCGTTACTAGTTTCATGAAACTTGTAAGAATGATTGTATTCTAAAACATATACTTATAAATTACATTTAAGTATATGTCGAAACGTTTCTGTTAAATTAAGCTCTGTGTAATTTCAAACTATCCTGCCTACTCCTAGAATGTTAGATATCATGGTGTTACTATTTCCACAAAATAAATTTGGAATTTATTAGTTCAATTCATTTGACTTAAAATCATCTACTTATCGGTTTAAATTCCTGCTTCGGTTAATTCATTCCTCGAAAACAGACAGTAAGATTAATCCTTATTATAAATATATGGTAAATGAGTTATATCAGTATACACTTCAATAAATTATAACTTATAACTTTGTATATTAACGGAAATGAACAATATGTTGAATTTGCATTCATTGTTTACAATCAAGAATTTACAAATAGTGTATTAATGGTTTTTCTAATATTCAACTACAATTATTGCTCAAGTCTTGCAATGTTATTCCATTATACTTTGTATATTGTTAAATGAAGTTGATATGTAGAATACTTGAATGTAATTATCATTAGGGGATGATACCAATCGGAGTTTACAACTAACTAATGTTATATATGTGTATATACTTCGCTATACTGGTGTATTTATAATTCAATGACCAAACAGTTAACGCTCAGGATCGAACTCTAGTTGGAACAGTAAAAATGACACCAACACAGAGGATATGATTACAAGTTAGACATTAACACCATTGGATGCCGGCCGGCTCAGTGGTCTAGAGGTCAGACGTTCGCTCACTCGCAAGGCCGATAGGTCCTGGGTTTGAATCTCGAGGGGCGGGATCGTGGGTGTGCACTGTTGAGGAGTTCCACAATAGGACGAAACGGCCGTCCGGGGCTTCCAGGTTTCCCATGGTGGTCTAGCCTCAGTTTACTAATGAATTCAACTATTAAATTACTATAATCTCCACAAAACTCTCTTCTGATATAAATATTAATTAAAGAAAATATTTTTTAATATAAACTTGATAATAAAGCGAATATCATAAGTATATACGTTTCAAATATTTTATGCATCGAATAAAATTGGACAATGCAATCAAAATTTTAAATACATTGAAATAATTATTTTTAATTTTATACATCCAATATACGACTTTAATTATTATTATTGAAAAGTTTATGCAAGCATGTGTGTATTTAGTATATTTATGTAGTCATTAACAGTGAAATCCATGAACTTCAATTCTTATTTGGCACTTGTCAGCTGAGTATATCTAAATCACAGTCTTGATGTTCATAATGAAACTTTAACGCATTATCTGTAGTTTAAAGCCCTAAAGCATTATCGGCTTAGTTACTAAATTCAAATACCACTAACATTTTTAGAGATCAATTTATTAATTCACTTGGTGGTTATCAGGCATTTGAAGCGAATGGTGTTTCATTCGAGTCCCGGAGTGGACATCAACTCTGGGATGAAGATACATCCGGCTGATGAGTCCCAAGTGTGACGAAACGCGCATCCTTGATTTCGCCGTTATCCAATATCCATTTTTGCTTGTGATTTATTAATTGTTTATAAAACTGTTTTATATTTGCTATTATTCAAGACTAAAGTGTGATTATTCTCTGTTGGCATTTGTGGTTACTAAGCGACTTTCTTCAGTATTGCTTTTTAGTCATTAGCTCTTGCAAATTTACGCTTTTTAGTTGAGATCGATTTCAACAACATAAAACTTTCCAAAAGCACACACGAACACTGACTAAGACAATATTAACTCCAACTATCGGTTTCAATAAGTTAGCATCATATAATCGTCAGATTATTCAGTGACTGAATAAATCTGTTTAGAGTTTTTTCTTCTTTCTCTCAGCTGTATATAATTTATTTGTAATGTGTAAATAATTTAGTAATTATATCATCTTTCATACCATTATTCTGCCATTCAAATGAAACATATCTGATTATGAAACTTTATGAATCATTTTAATGCAAATCCCATAGTAGCATCGTTTCATACACTGCTGTTAAACATATAAATAACTTGTTGAAGAATGTACACTTTGTCTAGATTTGTTTAAAATACGAATAATAACACATTTCCCGCCTGATTTAATTGTTATGCTATTACATATATCTAATTGCATTTTTTTATTGCATGAGATTATTTGTTCCGATAAAATCTATACTTTTACTCTTCGCTCCATACTGTCTGAAGATAGTTAGATTAGGAGTGTTCAGTTTATAAAGAGTATGAAGTAATTCTAGATAAATTCATTATAGGGTCTAATCCAAAAGAGTGATTACTTATACCAGTAAATTTATATTTATCCAAAATGAAATGACCACAAATTATATTACTAACCTTAATAGAATCTGACATGAGATTATTAAAGTTATTCAATAGAAAGTCTTGAACATAGCTTGATCAAAATATTACAAATTTGATCGATAAAGTCTTATTATTGTTGGGAGAACTGATTAATGTTGCGCATTTAATTAAATTATACTTAAATTTAAAGCTAATATTGAATGATCAGAAACTACTTTCTTTAGAAAATACCCAAACAGTTCAATGTTGATTACGTTCTGCATAGTTAAGGTAAATAATGACTTATATTTGTGACCACACAGTTTTTTATTCTGAGATTGCTTTCTCAAAAGTCTAGTCTTTTTCTGATGAATAACATGAAATGTTACCGAGTAATTAAAGAAAATTTTGTGCACTTGCACTTGGTCTGTGCTAATGAAAATTGATGGAAATAAGTTTCAAACTTACAACCTTGTGGTTTATAGACTAATCTTTTAACATGAATAAACATTCACTCACTAATGCTCGTAAATCTTGAACCTAGTTTTCAGTCTATTTATCATTCATATTCTTTTATGTAATTTGTGAATTTTGTTTCTAATATGGGTTTTTAGTTTGATTAACTTGTATAGACTAGATCATTTAGAATAGTCTTAGTTAGTTGTTTGGATTTTGTCTTATGATAGTAACCACACTGTAGTTTAAAAAATCAAGGATATCCCAAGATTCTAGCCGACAGAGGTCATTGAGTTAACATTTCCCAACTATTAACTTCTGAATTTAATGTCCTGAAGTCTTATTAAACGTCTTTTTCTTCTTCTTTGTGTTGATTAGTTTAAGAGCGGGACACTTCCTCACCGAGAAAATTACTGAAAAAACTTGTAATGTAGCAAAGTATTGAAATTAAGATATGATTTCGGAATACTGATCCGATCGTTAATTACTTTCAGTGTGATTTTATCCTTTGTGAAGTGATAGATAAACACTAATAAAAAGTTTCAGACAATTGAGAAATAACTGTCCAGTTCCTTCTTTAGTTTCAAAAGATAATCATCTACTACATGTTCATTATGTCACTTAATAATTATCCCTTGTTCAGTATAATATATCAGCCCGGATTTAATTTACCATTTTACATTTACTCATAGACATAACTAAAATGTTGCGAAGATCACGGATCAATTGAAGTTAAGCATTAACACCGTTGGGTGACACCTCAGTGGTCTAAAGTTAAAGTGTTCGCGCGCAAAAGTAAGGGTCTCGGGATGAAATTTCACGTGCATGATCGTGGACGTGCACTACTAATGAGTCCCATACTAGGACGAAACGACCGTCCAGTGCTGTAAGGTTTTCAGTGGTGGTCTAGCTTAGATCGACTGTTAAAATACTACAATCACAAATCTTATACCAACTAAACCATTTGAATGAAAATTTTAACTATCATTGTACTCGGGGCATAAATTTACATATGGCCCATCACATTTTATCGTTACCAATCCTCGTAGGCTCTAGTCATGAGTCTGATCAATATGGTTTGCATTCATAAGTAATCAATTTTAAAACCTGTCATTGATATGCAACCAAAATCTTATGTAGGTTTTGATCCAAGATTTTCAGTTCACAAGATGTTAATGATGATTCAAAACCAGAGAATCAGTCTGTATTCTAAATTTCAATCAATATACGTATGTCGATCAATATTTTCGTGATGACTAGTGTTTATTAGATCTCAGTAGATTATTTTCCCGAAATATCTATTATTATCCTGAAGAAGTCCGGACAAGTTAGCTGGACGACACTTTGGAATTTCAATTCGCTGAAATTATTACAAATATAATTTTCACATATCATGACTTCTCTATACTCGGCGCCCGATTTCTGTCAAACTATTCGTTCTAATCTTGACGAATATATATATTACGTAATTTGTTATCAAAACTGCATTGTCCATTTTTTCTCTATTTAATATGATATAGTATTTTATATTTTAAAATACACATATTTAGCTGAATAAAGCTCAACATAAAAAAAAGAAAAATCATTAATATTGAATAGGTTATCAAATATTTTTATTTTCGTGAACAGAACTCACTTCTGTGTTCTGTGATTATAAATCCATCCACCCATACGTACAACAAACACACACTACATACATACATTCACGAAGATAAAAAAAGTGTAATCATCTTTCATATCTGTTAAATAGAACTCAGTATAAATAACCTTAGAAAATAATCGTAAATTTTTTAGTTAGAAAAGTATATAGGTGACTTATATTAAGTTAAATTAAAACAAAGATAGAAGAAAAATGAGTTCTCATCAGTTTGTATTTCGTTTTTAAAAAAGTTTTTTTTCAAAATGATATCACCAACTTAATCTAGATTGAATGATTATTCTCATGACCAATAATTGATATTAATTGGTAAGATGTTATAAAGTATAGTGAATTGGACAATTATTTTATCTCAGTCTGATATTCATCACCAGGATGTAGTTTTAAAGAAGCAAAGTAATAGTATATCAATTATTTTAACCTCAATAAAAGGTTTTTTATTATTTGTTTAGCTTATGTGAATGTATAGCACTCATTATTTCCAGTGGAGTTCAGCCGGGTCAGTTGTGAGATAGTAACTCACTAATGGCAATGGTGGATGTGTCGCCCAATTTCGTGGATTAGTTGAAGTTAGACATTAACACCGATGGATGCCAACTGGCTCAATGGTCTAGTGGTTAAGTGCTCGCACGCGAGACCAGTAGGTTCTGAGTTCGAATCTCGCGAGGCGGGATCGTGGATGCTCACTGTTGAGGAGTCCCACAATAGGACGAAACGGCTGTTCAGTGCTTCCAGGTTTTCCATGGTAATCTCAACAATCGAAATTACAAGGATCTCCACAAAACCCCCTTCTGATGATAGATACATGGTTTTCAAAATATTTTATTAATTTAAGCTGAATCTAACTAGATTTATTTATTGAGATTATGAACCGATTGATGTTAGACCACCATTAAAACCCTGTAAGCACTAGACGGCCGTCTCGTCCTATTGTGAGAATCCTCAACAGTGCGCATCCACGATCCCGCCTCGCGAGATTCGAAATCAGGACCTACTGGTCTCCTGTGCGAGCACTTAACCACTAGACCGCTGAGCCGGCCGGCATCCAATGGTGTTAATGTCTAATCTCAACCATCTTCCATTGTATCGAGGATGATACCTGTCTATACCCAATACGAATGGTGATCTAGCATCAATCGGTTCATGATCCCAATCAGAAACTTAATAATCTCCACAACCCCATACTGATAAATTTATTTACTTTTGTCCATTTCCCACTTTTTATGCGTCTGTATTTTACTGACGTGATTGATCATTAGTATCTTGAGTAACATGAATTTATGGATATAGAACTTCTGGAGAACTTAATGGAAAGAATTTCCTTTATATATATATATATATATATATATATATATATATATATATATATATATATATATATATAAGCTGTAAAATGATGATCAGACTGTTAAGTTCAAGATTTCTCCAACATAAAAATAATGTTTTTATGACCTTTGAATATGGAATCTTCCTAATGATAAAACCTATTTGAAGTATGATGGTCAATGGCAACAAACAGAAAACTGTGGACGATTTGTGATAAATGAAACTCGTTTATGATCCGTATCTACAACCTTGGAGTAACTGACTCAATCATCAGTAGGATTAACACTTATGTCATGTGGTGTCAGCCAAGCCCAGTATTGGTGAACTATTCAAATAGATGACTAGCTACCCGATCCCTTTTTTTGATTTCTTTGGAAGATTTGATTTATTTAGCGTGATAGTCATGCCAGAATTAGCATTATCTAGTGTCGATATTAAAAATCTGAATATTGCTGGTTTGGAAGTAATTTAGGGATTATTAGATTGAAAATATTAGTTTTAGCAAAATTTGTTCTAAGGACTATAATCGAACAGTTGTGGCTATTATGTTGATTGAGTTGTAACTTTCAGCCTTTGGTAGCTTTACATTAAGCCTGAACGTACTTTGTGGGTTGTAGGAGTGTGATAGAACCTAGAAAGGGAAAGAAAAAGAGTAAAAGTAAGCCGATAACTCAGTAAGTACTTACATTTAATAATGAAAGCAATTAGCAATAATACAAATGTGAGATTAAGGCAATCCGATGTCGAAACTGTAAGTTGATAGCGTAAGGCTTCGAATGTATTACAGGGTAAATGATTAAATTAGGAGTAGATAGTTGTTTACGTGATTAATCTCTAACAGCCGTAAATTGTTTATATAATAAATACTTTTTTTTCATAAGTAACTTCTCATTATGATGATTAATTAGGTCTATTGTATGCCTGTATCCACAAATTAGTAGTCATTAAGCTTAATCGAGAAATCCATCATTTGTGTTTTTAATAGTGTGTTACTTGTTAGCATTGTAATTATTTATTGACTTGTGCATCATAGCAACTAGATATCGTCATTTCACTAGGCTGCGACTAGCACATATATATGTCAACTCTTTGATTGATTTCTTTCCGATCAACCCACATAAGTCTAACACTTAGAAAAGATAATACTGATGATAGTGACCATAAAAATAATGGTGATGAATTCTGACCTCAGTAAATTACTGTTCGACCTTGTGAATTTTACAACTGATTGTCTCTAAAAAATCAGTCTTAGATACTTGATTTCACTCAGATATTATGAACAATTTAATAACATAGAGAGACAAACAAACACACGTGGACATTCTTAGTCAGAAATTGGTTTTCGAAAAGATGCCTGATTAAACTGATAATATGTTTACAATCAGGATTTTTAAACTATTTGCTTTAATGAATTAGTAACTTTCCTTCTACCAATGTACTGGCATATTTATGAATAGGTAAATAAATATGAGCATGTGTATGTATGTATATGCAAATGTTTTCAAGTGTCTTGATCACAACTAAGAGAATTAAAGATAGAGTTGTTTCTAAAAGATTTTGAATAACTTTTTTCTGCCTACAAAATATCTCATATTGACAAAACGAGACAGGAAATAATACTTAAAAGTAAATAAATTCCGGAATAAAATGAGGTTAGGGGGGAAAGAAAACTGAATGGGCTGTTTTTTGTTGCCATAGGAGTTTTCTTTATCAATAGTGAAGAAATTTTTTACACATAGATTAAATGTTAACGATGGCTATGGGGGGATATTACGAATTAATTAAAATGAAAAGTATTGTCCATCGGATACTCATCTCAACTCTCATCATGAGGTCTAAAAGATTTAGGTTCGATCTCTGCTGGTTTTATACCCACAGATTCCTGGAGTTGTATACTACAACAAAACCGTTGTTTTATGATGCATAGTTATGAGTAGTTTTCCAACAAGTATCACTCCATGATTATGATTACCATAAAAAGATATTTACTAATATGTAATAGTTATTCATTAGTAAAAATGGATCATGTTCGAATTGTATTTAGAATCAACTATATTCGGAAAAGTGAATCACTGGATTTTTTATTCTGCAACTGGTATTATGAGACCTTTCAGGTCTAGAGTTCGTTTCCATATGGGATCATGGTTGAAAAGTTTCAAACTAAGATAAGCCAACTTTCCAATAGTTTTTTAGTTTATATTAATTTTATCAGAAGGGATTGTATGGAGATTTTAGTAATTTCAATAGTTGAAATCATGAATCCATTGAAGCTAGACCACCATGGAAAACCTGGAAGCACTGGACGGCCGTTTCGTCCTAGTATGGGACTTCTCAGCAGCGCGCATCCACAATCGCGCCCCTCGCGAGCGCGAGACTGATAGGTCCTGGGTTCGAATCTCGCGAGTAGCTGCATCGTGGATGCGCACTGCTGAGGAGTTATATTAATTTGTTTAAAGTTGATTTTAAGTAACACGAATCATTAATTAGTACTATTGTTTAAGATAAATAAATGAAAGTATTAAAGTGACTTAGTTTATTGTCAACTTTGGTTTGAGTTATCAATTCAAATAAAATCTAGTCAACAGTTCTGCTTTATAGGTAAGTTAATATAACCCAAGTTTATAGATATCACTGCCAATATTGAACTTGATAGTTTCAAAGAAACTGAGCACTGGGTCGAAAGTCAATAATAAATATATTTTTTGTTATATCCAAATGAGTAGAAAATGTGTATTTCTGATGTTTCGCGACTTAATGTAAGCCACTTCTTCTAAATAAATAGACAACCGAAATAAATTAATACAAGTACAAATAGCTCATTAAGTCATGAAACATCAGAAATACTTTTTCTACCCATTGGGATATAACAAAAATATATTTATTAATGACGCAAGTTTATAATATGGTTGAATATATTTGGAATTCCAAACAAATCTAACCAATTTCATAGTTATAATAATTCAGGACTATGAATCTATCTGCTTATTGGAGATGTTGTGGACTCTGAGCTGGGTTGTTTGATTAGGAAGTTTTTATTTTGTTTTACCAAACTACATTATCACCACACTCTTTTAAAAGAGAAATAAATTATTAGGATCATATCACAATTAATGAACGACTTGTTCTGTCGACCTGGAATTTAGTTGATTGTTAACCATAATTACGTGATCAAATTCTAGGTCATCAGAACAAATTGTTTACTAATTGTGGCAATATTCTCAATAATTCATTTCTTTATATATATCAATTAAATAAAATAATCTGTTTTAAAAAATAAACTTGTCTAACATAAAATTACTGTTGAGGATAGGAATTGGTATTGGTAATAATTGTGAAGACGATTTGAATAATGATGTTCGATAGTTTGGTTTATTTGTCAACATTCATACAATAATTCATACTATCGTTGGTTTAATGACAAATAATACTACTTAATAATCAAATATAGCCCAAACCTATATAACAAAAACCGATAAGAATTTGTAAGTGATATTAAGCAATGACTAAATAGATTAAGGACGAGAGCTTTATTCTGTAAACAGTCACTTCTCTAAACCATTCATGACAAAGGGGTTCATAAGTTGCTTTCGTGAAAATGAAGAATATCTTTTAGCTTATAATGCGGTTTTGGAAGATGTTATGTTCTTTGAACAAAATGGCTTGGTTCTTTCGAAGTACATCCTGATGTCTGTAGAGATAGAAAAACTTAACGACTATACTATGCAGCCAAAAACACAAGACACTTCCTAAATGCCCATACTGAACCGTAAACATTCACTGTTATCTCAGAATTATCTGAGTTTAACACATTTTTTAATATACAAAAGAGGGAGAACGTCTCTAAGAACAAAGCTTCTACAAAGAAACAACTATATTTTCTACACGAATAAACAATCCAGCCAAGGGCGTACAACACCCGAAAAAGTTTCTTTAGTTCCTTTATTGTGAAATAGTAGATATCATTATCTTTTCATTTTTTTTTATTAACTGTTTACTTTTTCTGTTTGTCGTGGTAAGTATTTTAATTTATCATTGTCTTTTATCATTCCCTTCTTTACGTTTAAAATTATTGTTAGATATATCCAAGGAATTAATGCGAAATTTTGATCATTGCTGTACAGATAATCATTTCAATCAAACCCAACCAAATCAGTCAGCTTATGGAAATTTCTGTGTACAATTACAACAGTATTTAATATTATTATGTGAATGGCTTAAACGTACATCTATTAGTACTGGTCTAACAAATATGACATCAACTGTCACTACTACTGTCGCTAATAATACTACTACTAATCCAACTTATAACATGAATATTAATAATAAGGACAGAATAAACTGCACGTACAACTGGATACCTTCCGCCACATTATCCCCATGTTCCTCTTGTTCAACAGTATCCCCTAAGAGTATGACACAATTATCAGATACAAAGAATAATCATTCATCAAATAATCTGTCTAATATTTCCACTTATTCCTCACCAGTAAAACATTCAGCATTCTCTTCTTTTACTCCATGTTCTAGTTCATGTGTCTGCAGTGCTTCCTCATCATTATCATCATCTTTCCTTACAACAACACCATCCTTGAGAACTTCAGATGATTATATAAATACATCTCTAATTAATACCAGAAATCAAACAAATATAAAATATTCTATTCAAAATATATCAACTAACCTTTCAGAAAACGATCATTTATCCAATCGCATTGATCATATTGAACCAACATTGTTTAAAACAATAATGAACAATGTGGGAGATGAAATTACAAACTGTAAAGATCAATATCAGCCAGATCAGTATACAAAATTAACAGATAATTTTACTGAAAAAATGTATCAAAATATTTTATTTTATTACTACTATTATATAAATTATAATCATTGGAAAAATAAGAACATCAATAATATTTCTAATGTTAATATTACTAATAATCATAGTAACTATGTGATTCCAACAGAGTTTACTGTAATGGCAAACGAAAAACAAAGTGATTTACATAAAATAAATAATAAACTTCCTATTTCAAATGATATAATTAGTAGTAATTATTCTAATAATACAATTAACCACGATTACGATAGTAGATATAGTGATTATACACAGAAAATAATGTTGAATTATAAAAAATTATTTGATCAATATTCGAATGAAAGAATCAATTCAAATATATTAACAGAAAGCACTATGACACCGACAACAATCTCAGCACCTAATATACCTGTGATAATTAATAATTTAACAATTAACAATAAATCAATTACTTCAATTAATAATAGTAGTAAAAATGATCTTGATGATGTTCATGATGATGCTGATAATGATCATTTATTAAATTGTCAATTAAATCAATTATTTCATTCATTTACGTGTAATTTACAGAAATTAGCAATGACAAACCCTAGTAAAAGTGGTCAATTTTCAATAAACTCACAAAATACTAAACATTCAAATCATCTTAATCATATTCAACATTATAAACAACATTCAACTACAGGTAAACGATGTTATAAAACTAATCGTGAGAATACAAGACTACGAAAAGGTAAGTTAATAAGATAAGAACAATTTCATATGTGAATCACTTAATCTTAGTGGATGAAATTTAGGGCGACGTTATAATTTATTTACGAACCAACCAAACTTAAGATAGGTCCTGGATATTTTGTGTGAAATTTATACACTCACTCGGCATTATTGCTGATGTCTGTTTGTGATGAAAACATTGAATATAATTTATAACCCGAACGTTCAAATGTAAATCGAAATCTTAATTCCTCGCACTAATTTATAACCCTCATTCAACCCTATCAATTTGGTACACATTTTCAAGGTCATTTTAGCGTTGCTGAAAGGTCGTCCGTAAATTATAGTCTCACAAAATGTACTTTTATGGATTCAATTTTAAGTTATATTTTTTGTGAGTAAATTACTAGTAATGTTAAACTAAAGAAACCGAGGTTGATGGTTAGTAGCAATCTGTGAATTTGTGATTCATAATAAGTTGAAAGTCAACCCTTACAAATAATAACAATAAATTGTGTTGAATAATTATATGCTAACTTGGTGACAATTAGAAAAACATTCTTAATGAATTAGTGATATTGATTAATTACTAAGATAGCTCAGTAGGTGAAACATGATATAATTCAATGATTTAGTTATTCGAACTTTAAATATGTTTGGCGAAATTGAGATGTAGTTCTAAGCATAAAATAAAATATCAACTTTTATAAACGTGTTTATAAAAAAACAACTGATTTCTTCACAGGAAGGAAGATAAGCTTTTGTTAGATGAATGATTGTTAATTAGCATGAAATTTGAACTCAAGTTTTACCGACAGTAACCTCAATAGGACCTATCATTTCAAAGAAATACTGTTCTCGTTTATAGTAACTACGTGATGAATTTCCACAAGTCCCAATAAAAAACTATGGTGCATACAATTATTTAAGTTGGTAATGCTAGAGAAACTTATATAAAACAATGAATAATAACTAACGTAAGATGAAAATATACAGTTAGATTTCGACTCGATAATCTAATTGCTTCAATTTGTATATTGACGAGACTAATTTATGGACGAATCAATCAGATATAAAACAAAAGGTCTTTGATTTCAGCCCGAAATTCATTGATTCATTTGGATAAATATCCTTTTGTCATTTTCGCAGATGTCAATCCGAGATGAAATCTCTAAATATAATTTCCAATCCTAACCATCAAATGCAAATCATAATATGGATCCCTCATAGTGCTTTAAAGCCTTCATTTAGTCTTAATTAGTCGGTAGACGTCCTCAGTGTCACTTCGGCGTCACTCAAAGATCGTCTGTAAATTATGGAACTCATCAGCGGTGCTCATCCACGATCCCGCCTCGCAAGATTCCAAGCCGGAATCAGTCAGTCTCGGGCGCGGACGCTTAACCTTTAAACCACTGGGCCGGCCGGCATCCAACAGTGTTAATGTCTAACTTCAACTAATCTAGAAATTGAACGATACATCCACCAGTGACCAGTCGACAACAATCGGGTCTGTTATGAGATGGTGGATGTGTCGCCCGATTTCGTGGATTAGTTGAAGTTAAACATTAATACCGTTGGATGCCGGCTCAGTGGTCTTGAGGTCAAGAGTTCGCGCGCGAGGCGGGATCGTGGATGCGCACTGTTGAGGAGTCCCACAATAGGACGAAACGGCCGTTCAGTACTTCCAGGTTTTCTGTGGTGATCTTGCTTCAATCGACTCATGATCTTAACTGTTAAAATTACTATAATATCTATAAAAACCCCTTCTGATATGAATATTTATTTTTGTCAATTATTTTTTAATACAAGAGTGAATATTTATATTTTTAAATTATATTTCATTATTTTTATTTATTGTAGATAAACGTTTCGACTTTAAACATTTGGCTCAATCATGTGTTGATTATGAATTAAGTGATATTCACTTATCAAATTCATCGTCAATGTATCAAACAGAATTTTCTCTAGAAAAACAACTGAAACGTCAATTTTTTGACAATAGTACTACTGAAAATAATAATAATAATAATAATAATAATAGTAATAATCAACATTTGGTCAGGACAGAAAATAATCCAATTAAACCCATAGAGAGAAAACAGTTCAAAGAGGATAAAGATAGTCATTTTGTCGAAGTACATTTGAAAAGTGCGAATTCAAGGTATTCAAAAATTAAATTATTGGTATTTATTTTATTATAAATTCTGAAACATAAAAATGTAACTTTTACTAATTCTAAATATAACGTATTATGTCTGTTTCAAGAAAATTTGTTGAAAATCTCATCGTTGTTGTATCGTTTAGTCCGTGATAGGTTTAAATGTAACCTTCTTTTATCCTTGCCACTGTTATGTTTGCGGAATCCGTAAATAAATTAATCTTGATACTGAGTCCCAAAATCCAACATTGTATAATGAGAACACAAACACTGGTGATAAGGATTTTTTGACTCTTCAATAAATCAAAGTAATGTATAGGCCACATGATTTATTTATAGTCAGATTTGTATAATTTAAATTGAGTAGTATCTAACATTAATCACTTGGCAAATTACTGTGTGAATGCATATATAATACCATGCAACTAAGCATCTATCATCGACAAATATAACTAACTGACTAAGTCATATAATTACTCTTTCTCAATATGTGATTGCCCTTTTACAGACTATTCAGAAAAATCAATTTCATATATCATTCACACTCCCGTTCATTACGTCACTGCTTTTCATATATTAACAGCAAACCAATGACCCTACTAGGAATCAAATTCAGCACCACGTCCCAACCTATAAAAAATATTGTCAATAATTGTTTTATTATAATATTTATTTAACACGACTTAGTAACTAAGACCGTATTTAGGTAATAGACTTTCAGTTATAATTTCTGTATGAGACAGCTTAATACTATTCAGCTGCTCAAATAAAAGTAGGCATGGCGGTTAGATATCTATCGCTACCTACATTTTTTTGATCAAAGTATGTTAAAATAAAAAAATGTCTTATATAGTAGACAAATGATAACTGAAAACAATAACAACTTAAACATATTGTCTTCAATTTTAAAAAATTTACATGATAATTGTTGCTTTGGAGAACAGCTTGAAATTTACTATCCTTATATTTTTTTCATAAAACTGATTGGGACCATTAAATGTTGAAATTAGATATACTATTCTCCAAGAGATTTCATTAAATTCGTAATATACTACTACTAATGCTAATAATGACAGTAAATTTTTTCTCAATATCAATTCAATTATACTTTTGATTAAATTGTTAGATTATTTCATCATAGATATTATTGATTTCAATTAACTATTACAACGTGCTACACCAATAACGAAAGTATAAATATCATCTTGAATCTATAATCTCTTGTATATTCATGTATATTTATGTATGTTTATATTTTCAGGTGCATACACTAATATTTATCCATCTATCTATTTACATTTATACACTTGTGTTTGCACATGTCTGTCTACATGAATTATCTAGGGATTAGAAGCATTTTAGATTTGCGCACTCATGTACACAAAAATTGATATATACACAGTTTATTTATATTTTGTACAGAAGGGTTGGTACTTTTATTTCAAAAAAAGTTTTTAAATACAATGTAACAATTCTTTTTTTCAAAAAAAAAAACAATAAATCTTAACCTAAATTCTATCTGTACAATTTATAGAAACCTTTTGTTTTTGGTTTTTATTAACACAAAAAAGTAACAGTTATTTTTATATTGTAAATTATGCACAATAAACCGACTTACTGACCATCTTATAATATTTACTAATTAAAAGTTTCACTCACTGATCAGGAAGTGGGTTGAATTTTTTTCGAAAAATATTTTGTTTTCAAAAGTAGAAAAAAGTTGAACAAATTTTATATTTAAAAAATATATTCATATATGTATAAGTAAGCTGCTATGATTTTATCAATCAACCGATTATGTCTAATGAATCGTTTGATTGACTAACAAATATCAAACTAGTAACAATAGTGCATGTACATATCCGTATATATATATATATAGCGAGAGAGAGAGAGATGAATACAAATCTATAAAAAGTCAACAATTCGATAGGATTTCTTCTATAAATTTCACTTATCGAAATTTGCAATTTATGCCGAGAAATATTTACCATCATATATTAAATGAATTCGTCTTAAAGACACGTATACCCACATGAAATTTTAATTATACATACAAACAAAAAAGTCAGAGATAATCATTTATAAAATGATATGTTTAAATTCCATTTAGTAATTAATATAGATTCGATGAGATTTAAACAAGCCACATTTAGTCTATTTAATATCACTTTTCTCTTATGTAATGAGTACGTATTCACAGTAAAATCTGTGTTATCATCAGATTAAATTTAAAGTATACAGACTTTATTTATTTGTGTTTGTGTGTGTTTCTTTCTTTGTGACTAATACTCTGGACTACTCGTGTTATACGCTTTTCATATACACTACGAGTATATCAAGATATATTGGCTTCTGAGTGCAATGTCACCATGGTAACACTAGATTATCACATATAACACAAACTACTGTGATAGATTTTTTGAGAGGAATAAATTCTTTTTAATTTTTATCGAACGTGTTAAATCACTAATATTTTGTATTCTGTAAACATTCAAAACTGAATGTGTTGGTATTTCTCTGATTGAATAAAAGTTTAAAACTGATTAATAATCACATAATTTTTTAGGAGGTGGTTAGTTGAATAAACTTAAATAATTGATTATCTAAGAAGATATCAAAATAATGAGTTTAGTTGATAAGATACCTTTGACTTAGACATTTGGACTACTGACCCAATACTTAATACATTAAGCTACCAAACTCATCTTCCAGCAATATTTCTATATACATGACCAGAGTTAATAGTTTAGTCATATGACAGTCAGATAAATTACTCAATAATATGAGCTACATAATTCACTTTAACGGAATACTGTGAACTGGTAATATGAAGATAAATAATGTTCAATCTAATTATTCATACTATTGTTTTCATCAAAGTATATTTATTACTGGATTAAAGTAACGTTTTTTATTATTATTAAAATCTCGTGATTTCGCAATATTTTCGAACATATCCGTACAGAATAAATAGACATTATCTGGTTGAATTCGTAAGGTATGAACAAGTAAATAACAATTTATTAACTTTATACTAAACAAAACAATCATCATATACTAGATATAGTTTGATTTAACTTATCTAAACTTATTTCCTTATAATCAGTATAATATGATATCTGTACAACTTATGTTATTTTAGTAATATTCTTTGTTAAACGTGAATATATATTGTTTATTTAATCAAATGTTGATATTTTTGCTCTTGTTGTTGTTGATTATTTTAATTGGATAGATTACGTGTAAATTATGGTCGATTAATTAATGCGAAGGAAGATAAATCAAATCATAGTGGACCACGTCGAAGGTAATTGTTTTGAAAATATGTTTGTATATCTCTGTTTGTTCATATACATAGGGGCGAACGATTAAACAGGTAATTATAGTGATCAGAATGGACTAGTTGTACGCTTGTTTAATACAATTTTTAAGTTTACTTCTATTTTAATGAGGTAATAATTTCCTCTAAAATGAAAATAAAAGCTTTAGAAATAAATCATTGAAATCAATGGAATCAATATCACTGAGAATATTAACTAAAACTACTATTTTCCTTGATTCTGTCAGGATTACAATATTTCAACTGTACATGAGCTGCATCATAATGAAATAAAATTTTACTTAATTTCATTCATTATTTCAGATTAGTAGTCTAGCATGTAAAGTATTTAATTTTCAACTAATCTATTGTATATTCCATCATCATTCCACTTTGATTTGAACAGCCAGATATGGTTAATATTTCACCATATTTAATTAATTTTTACTCATATACTTCAATGATTACAATATAAAGTCATGATGTATAACTCGGTAAACATATTTATTACAAACAAACATATCAACTCTTTGTGTATTAATATTTCTTTCGTGGAAATTGTTGGATACATTTTGAAAGTATCAGGATTGGTATGTGGTGTGGGTTACTTATATCCACTCAAGTGGTATATGATGGTGGTCAGGCATGGGATGTATTTCAGTAGAAGGTCGATGAGGAAAGAACGAGAACGAAAAGCAATTGGTATGAAAGCGCATTAACAATGAAATCTGAGACAATGGATTGATGTTTGCAACAGGAACAGTCAAGTTTGATATGATGGATTGATATTTTGCAAATTAACGATTTAATATATGGTTCTCAGATTTTATTGAGATGCTCTGTAACTATGTGTCTAAATACATTCGATTGTCCCCATCGGTGTTCTTGTTCACTACAGGTATACTAATGGAATTCTTATAAAGGCTACAATTATCAATAGAACAGATCGTTTCAGCTCTTTAACAACAAATATAGTATCAAATAACAGTGGCAATGAATTCTTTATTAAAAATATCTTGATTAGGTTGTTTGTGCCGAAGAGAGAGAATAATTTGTTGTGTGGTACAAGTGTTACATGATTTTTAATGAAATCATGAACCGATCAATGTTAGACTACCGTCGCAAACCTGGAAGCACTGAATTGCCGTCTTGTTCTTGTATGGGACTCCTCAGCAGTGCACATCCACGACCCTGCGCACGGAACTCGAACCCAGGACCTCCAGTCTTGAGCATGAACGTTTAACCTCCAGACCACTGAACAGGAACTCAGTGATGTTAAATAATTATAATAAAAATAAATAATTATGAATATGAATGACGAAATATGTAAAATCTCATTTATGATCAATGAAATTAAGTAAATATGGAAATGGAACTTTAAGAAAACTTATACCTTATATTCAGTCCATTTCAAGTATACCGTTTTTTATTTGCTTATTAAAAAAATGATTTCATTTAAATTGTAAATAAATAATTTTTATTGAGTAATGTATCTTTATTACGTGTTGTTTATTTTACCTATAGAGTGCGTAAACAATATATTTGTAAATTCTGTTTACGTCAGTTTACCAAATCATATAATTTATTAATTCATGAACGTACACATACAAATGAGAGACCATTTCCTTGTGATGTTTGCGGTAAAGCATTTCGTAGACAAGACCATTTAAGGGATCATAGGTAAGTTAGCTAATGTTTTTTTCTTTCTAACGTAAAATTTTTAATTCCACATTTTAAAATAATGATAAATGTTTGTTGCATATATGGGATGTTTTATTAACGTCGTCTGTTCTTAGTCAAACTGACTCAAAAATATCTTGTTGGAATATGTTGTTAAATATGATAGTTAAAGTTTTTAACAGTGTTTTCTTCTGACAAATCCTAAGTAGCTATTAACAGAGGAGAAATATTGAAGGATAAATTCACTTTATAGTTTCTCTGTGATTTTAATGTAACTAGGAAATACTACATTCGATGGTGAAGAAGATTTGTAGCTCAGGTGTTTGATTTTGGTGGAGTTTTGTTCCCTGCGCTGGATAGGTGGATCGTGGCTAATGTCTAGTGTATATCAAAATTCCGAGTATGTTCTAGATGATATCTATACAAAGTATAGAAACATACTCTTTAAATTGAATTCATCTATGCAGTTGTCCAATTAAATAAAAACTATGGTAGATGATAATAATGATATCAATGCATTTAAATAGGCGCACCTTCAGTTGTACATAAGCTGAATATCAATATAATAGAAATCACTAAATATTTCAACACAAACAAACGTCGATCCCATAACTTTCCATAAGTATAGTTTAATTGGATTTGTTGAGAAAGAGAGAACGAGAAAGATCTCATAATATATGCCTCTTTAATGTTATTTTTTAACCTAAAAATTCTGTTATCAAGTCGGTAATTCTATAGAATATAACAACATCAAGTCACCTGTATTTGATAATAACTTGAAGTATTTCTGTTGATGTCACAATATTACAAATTGATTGACTCCGATAGATATTTATTCATAATTTCTAATATATACTTTAATAAAACGGCTTTTTGTTTAAAAATTTATAGATATGAATTATATTTTTTTAACTGTCAGAAAAACACAGATGTAGTGGAAATTACCAACTGCTTTTCAACTAATAGGTCATAAGCACGAATCACTATTTCCTTGTTTCCGTTTGGTAAACCAAGTTATATCACCAATCTCCATGCAAAATACACTCTTCCTATAACCGAGTACAAAACACATGCACATATTAAGCATGTTACCTTACATTTTTCGTAGGACAAAAATGTAATATGTTGGTCAAATGATCTGGTCACTTATTTGAAGTAGGATTTATTAGGAAATTTCACTTATAAATACGTTGTAGATGTAAGAAAATTTGCCCGTACCTGTTCATAAAGTTAGTTATTTTAGAAGGTTAAATCTAAATAGTTCTAAAAATACTAAATGCTACATTCATGTGAATCGATTATCTCCTGTAATTTGTAAAATACAAATGATGTTTTCCTACTAGAAACTAGTGAATATTTTGTAATATTTTTGTTATTCGAACGTAACTTTCATCAAGATTTGATATCAGTTGAACAAAGTTGCTTACAACTAGGAAACATTGAAAGTCGGTTCTATCTAGATCCCATAATACTGTAGTGAACGAGGATACAAGTGGGGACAATCGAATGTATTTGCCCACAAAACTACAGAACATCTTAGTAGCATCTGAGAACCATACAGTAAATACTTAATTTGCAAAATGTCAATCAATTGTCCCAAACTTCACTGTTCCTTTATTTCCACAGAAATCATTGACTGTTCTCGTCTTCTTTTCTTCGATCTTCTTAATATTATGTTGCCAGATATTTCACCTTCGATTGATGATACATATTACCTATATCTATCGACACCAGTAGCACTTCTCATAATACTTCTCTGTATTATTTACATACAATTATATGGTTAAAATATTTCTAATTTGACAAAATACACACTTAACTACTGCTCATCGACCACATATGTGTTCAGTAAATGATAAGTTTATGATGTTGTATTTGAGTTTTATTAAAGAAGCCCGTATTATTGTAAATAAAATAATAAATGAAGCCACATCTAAGTTTTTTTCGACTGAGTATATTTCATACTAATTAAAGTATTTAGAAAGAATTCATAATGTTTTGGAAATTTAAACTTTTATTCATCGACATTAATCATAAATTCATGGATAGTTATTTACTTTGTCTTCTAACATTGGCAACAGTTTACATTTATGATATCTGATATCTTAGTACTTTAATCATATTCAATATTTAATGAAACTAGAATTGTACTCTTAGATAATCAATGTTACTATCATTATAAAAACCAGAATTGAATGTCAGCAATACTTATTGACAAGTTAAATTATTATTCAATTCATCAAGAAGAGAGTGAAATGGTTCAAGAGATGATGATTATTGCTCAATATTCATTTAATTTACTTAGATATTATATCTTATTTTGGATTTCTTTTCTTTTTTACATATTCACAGATTCACACATAGTTCAAAGAAACCATTTTTATGTGAAATATGCGGTAAAGGATTTTGTCAATCACGTACTTTAGCATTACATCGTACAACACATCAATCAAATCAAAATGATGGTAATTTAATTACTCAAACTAATAACTTCACTAATAATAAAATGAGTATTCCAACCTACAAATCTCAAAGTGACTACAGTCACCAACATCATTCCCTATCTTCTTCTGTTTTCTCAACATCACCAGGAGCAGTAGTAGAGACAGTAGAAAAAACAACAACAACATTAGAGGTACCAACCGATATCTCAGAACTAATCAAATATAAATTCTAAAATCAATATTAAAACAGATTATTTTCATAGATAAAAAAAAGTAGTGAAATTTTTCAAAAGATATATCATAATTGGAAAGAAAAAGCATCCAAACAAAATGATATTCTTTAGCATACGTGGACATCGAGCATACATTAAAACAAACTTATTTACCAATAAATGAGTTGAAATACAGAAAATAATTAATAGGCAGTATTTACAATAATAATAACACTAGTATAACTCCATAGATAACTACTGAATAAACAAGACACATGATATTTTTAAAATAACTTCTTTCTTTTCCACTTTTCTCTATTTTTTTCTTTATTTCCTGTTTAAGAACCTTTCTAATCAGCAAATATACTTTGTTGATTATGATAATCATGATCATCATCGTTATCATCATCTTAGTTTGGTCATTATTATTATCAGACAGCTTCTTTTCGTTTAAAAAAATAAGAATATGTATTTATTTTTATCTTGTACACACAATATTTGTTCATTTTGAAGATATTTACCTTTTAAAGAAAAAAACTATGTGAATTGTATATTAACTTTCGTTTAATATAAATATAAACTTATTTATTTTTGTTGTGAATATTATATACTAAATGACTTCTACCTGAAGTTTGTGCTGATGATATCGTTCAGAAGAACAATGAAAGCTCCATGACCAAACCATCCAATTCATAGAACAAAACTCCGTCAAAAATGAATGAGAATACATGCGAGAACAATTAATTGTACATTCCTCTCTGTTTTATTAATCATTTAGTGAAATAATTGATATCATTGTTAGTATAAACATATTTAGATGATAGCGATATTAATAATTATTATCAGTAAAAGATTATACTCTGGAATTAATATTCCACTTCAGTTATTATGTAAAGTTAAGAAAGAAATTGATTTAAATTTACTAATATATTTGTCGTAATGACAATCATCAACTATGAGAATGTGAATGTCGACTGATGAGTAATTAATAAGGCAATAATATCTAGAACATAGCAGTTGCAAGGGTTAGGTCAAAGTTGGGAAAGAAGTGCTTACATTTCTGTCATATTTCTTTTTACAATATTAACGGCTTGTTTTTTTTTAAAATGAAAACACTTTTGTTTTCATAGTCATTACAGAAATTCTCTTTATTATTCGGTTGATTTCATTTACGAAATATATCGATTAGTAAACTAAAGACAGGAAGCTTGTTGATTAGTTGGATGTAGTAGAAAAGAAAAATAAGATATCCAACTTCGTTTTTATCAATTTATTTATTTATTGTAACATAGAAAGTTAACTGATTTAACCAATAATATTTGTGAAAATATTTCTATTGTCTTAAAATGCCACTGTATACAATTTGTAGAATGTCTGTCAAAACATTCATTCATACAACATCATTTTCTCACTTCAGTAACACATACATAGACATATGAATATAATTGACAAATTTATTGTATGCATAATTATGACGCCCATGACAACAGTGATAAGAGTGATAAAGTTGATGGAAATGAAGATGATGTTTATAGCTACTATAATAAATTATTTTTTGTATTTCTAGTATATCATCATTGAGCCTGTTGATATAACTGTGTACGTGTGTATTTGGGTGGTTGTGTTAGTGACCACTGAATGCACAATAGCACTTTCCTATTAAAAGAAATAAATGCTAGAAAAAATAGAGAAAACAAAACAATTGTCAAAATCTGAATTATTCGAACAGCTGTGATCATATCACAACTATAAGATGATGACAGAAAAAAAGGGAATACATTTCATGGGAATTAAAAATGAGTAGAGAAAGAATGTAAAAATTGCCTATACACGTATTTACATGTGCCATAAATCGAGAGAATAGGAGTGAATGAGAATAAGAAGGGGAAGGAATGAAGGCAGAAGAAACTGTTAATAAAAAAGAAGGAACCCGTGACAATGAAGTTATGCCAATAACATAATGATTAATGATTTCGTCAAAATAACTCCATATATGTGCTCCTTTATACAAAAGTTTACTCTTTATCAATGCATATACAAATGTTCTTCCTAAAAAGGACATCTTACAAATGTAGTGTATGAAGAAAGGTGATGAGTGTATACACTAAATGTATAATTTCTATTTGTTAAGTAAATAATGCCACACAAAGGTGTGAACTAATTAATTGCATTTATATATGCATGTATGTATATTTTTAAACAAGTTATGATGACTTTTTTATGTCCTAAGTATTCGTAGAAAAACAAACAGAAAGAAAAAGGAGAATAAAATCTAAGAAATCAATCTCTTCACATAAACAGTAGTCAACCTTAATCTTCTTATTACAATTTTTTCTGTTTCTCTGTCATCCAGTAACTTCCATTTGTTCTTAGTCTCTTGAGGCTTTCAAAATTACAAAATCAACTAATTTGTCATTCTGTTTACTGTTGCTAACATGGATACGACAGCTTATATCTATATATATTACTCCATATTTCTTTTTCTTTCTATATATAGCACATAGTGTAAGTGTCAATTATAAGATAAATATATGTAGTCTGGAAAAACCGCTGTTGTTTTATTTCGTTTATTGAAATGAAACTGAAAGACACGAAAATATGTAAAAATAAGTCATTTTATAATCTTGAAATATTTCATTGTAAACAGTTAATTATTCATTGAATTGATTAACTAAAATATTCAAACATATAATTATTATTAGAAGGGTTTTGTGGAGATTTTGGAAATTTCAATAGTTAAAATCATGAGCCAAATTAAGCTACATTACCTTGGAAAACCTGAAAGCACTGGACGGCCGTTTCGTCCTAGTATGGGACTCCTCAGCAGTGTACATCCGCGATCTCGCCCCCCGCGAGATCCGAACCCAGGACCTATCAGTCCCGCGCGCGAGCGCTTAACCCTTTCTAATAATAATCAACTGCTCACTAGTGTCTGACTTCAGGAGGCGTTTCCTGGAGTTCTAGTGAGAATTCATGACCAGTGGAGTTCAACCAGGTCTGTTGTGAGATATCAACTCACTAAAGACAATGGTGGATGGTGGTTCAACTTCGTGAAGTGGTTGAATTTAGACATTACCATCGTTGGATACCGACTGGTTCAGTCGTCTAATGGTTAAACATTCCCGCGAGAGACTGGTAGGTCCTGGGTTCGAATCCATAGAGGTGGGATCGTAGATGCCCATTGCTGAAAAGTCCAATACTAGGATGAAACGGCCGTCGAGTGTTTCCAGGTTTTCCATGGTGGTGTTAGCTTCAATTGACTCATGATTTCAACTATTGAAATATAATTATTAACCATAAAATCACTATTATAAAATTGACAAATTACTTCCAAGTTTTCAACGAACAGTTTATGGTTATTATGCAATTCAACAACCTTCACAAACACATACTAACAAATGACTCCTAATTAACCAATTGAAATCAACAATTCAATTGTTAAATTAATTTAGTATTGTCAAATTTTCGTTACGAGATGAATAAGTAATTCTGTTTATACATCAATGGTCTAGTTTATATCATTCACCAATTATAATCATGCATTAATTAGTAGCCTGCGTTCAAATCTACTGTACAATTTTTCGTTTATGGATTTTATAGAGACTAATTTCTTTTGTAGGCGGTTTTACCGCAGACTGTCACGTCAGTTGGAACATTATTTAGAAGAAAAATTGGGGGCAGTGGATAAGTATTTTATCTGAATATAAGACTCTTCAGTGGTGGGTATTTCCTGAAATTAAAACTGGAACCTCGAAACGTCACACTAACTGTTTTGTCATTAACGAAGTGAATTGTATGAATATGGCAAGGCAACTAGTTATTAATAAAGTATGACTTGATCCAAATGTATTTCATTTTAAGTTGCTACATTTTATGTCAGTGAAGTGAGATGAATGTAATTAAGCGACAAGTAAAGAAATTAGCGTTATGCTACAATCCTTTGCAGTTGATCGAAATGAATGAAATAATAACATTAAAAATACTTACAATTTAAGCAAAGTTGTCAACAAATTACATTGACTAATGGTTTTAAGTATGAGACGGATGACGCAAGAGAAATATCAGTGACTGCTTCATAACCTATATTTTCATTTTTCAGTGATCAGTTGTTGTCTGACAAGTAATACTTTCTTTACTGAGTTCTTTTTAAATAAATAAGATTTCCAGTTGACGATTTCGGCCTAACAAGAGCTCCTGGTCCCTTAATTCCAACTGTCTTGTCTTAAGGGGTCAGTTTTATAATACAGCTTCCAGTTAGGTTGATTAAACGTTAACTGTATTATCATATAAGTATGGTGACCCTGTTGTATAGTAGCTGAAAATGCGAACCTCTGAATTCCAACTTAGTTGTCGGTTATCACTTCTCGGAGGATTATAAGTTTTATTATGTAGAGAGCACCAACCTTAGTTCGAAACTTCCTGCTGTTTCTTTGCAACTAAGACCATCACTTACAAAGAAAACATCATTCACGTGTATAAAGGAGAGAGCGTGAATAACCATGTCAAATATTCTTTAACTGTTTCATTATAATTAGCCTTTAACCATATGGTTCCGTTGTTGAAATGAAATGTTATTTTTTTTTAACTTAAATCTCTGTAATCATTCTAATAGTTCATTAGCAAAATATTCAAAAATGTTTTTGATTCGATCGTAAATATTAGTTTCGACAAATTGTTTTAGTGAAAATACATGTTAATCAGTTTAGTCTAATACTATTTACACAAACACAAACATATTTATACATTCAACCAAATACACTTACATAGTCAAATTCGATTAACAGGGTTTATCTTTTCCCTGTACTACACTAGCTCACTTCATCCTGTTTATTCATTTTTTCTTCCTTATTACATTTCCAGGTGCATGATATAAAGGAACAAAAAAAATAGTTGTAATCCCTTTGAGGATACTAATGAAGTGAAGATATAAATGGTTCATAGTTTTGAAAAGCTTCTGTTCTATCTATCTATCTATTTATCTGTCTAACTATCTATCCATTTAATATTATTTTTATCCTAGTAAGACAAGAAAAACTAGGGATAAAATCACTGTTAAATAATACTAACAAATAACAGAATCACTACCAATATCACCATCAATTATGTTAGTGTTTTGTTTACATTTTTTCTTTGAGAAATCACTTAACTTTACCTACTGGAATTCTTTGTTCATCTTTCTACCGTCTTAGAAACTAGAAATAAGAAAAATACATTTCAAAATCCCTGTAGGGATTAATTAGAAAATTTCTGTTCTTCTCCATTTTCTCTCTTTCTCTTTCTCTCTCTGTCTGTCGACTATTAATGCAGATTTATATTGGTTTTGCTTTTCCTTTGGAAGTACCTTTTAACTTGGTATGTGCTTTTTAGTACAAATGAAATTGTTATAATCTGTTATTGTGATAATGTATGTACTACTAAAATTACTATCAGTAACAGTGAAATAAACAACGTAATAATAAATACATCTTTATGAATATCAGTAACCTATAAACTATGATAACTTCATATAATATTCTGGATATGAGTGAAGTAGATAACAGCTTTCCACGAACTGTTGATATTACTTATAACTATAAGTAAAAAGTACAAGTTATCTATAATAATATCATTTAATATATATTTTTCGGTTTTTAGTAGTATAAAAATTCCAATCGATTAATCAGATAGAAT